TTTTTTTTCTCCCTCCAACCCCAGCCCCAAAATGACTTGGCTACCTTTTTCTGTGTATTCAGTTGCAGAATGTGATCTGTCCCATTGCTTGCCTCCAGTGGCACCTGCCCCGGATTGCTCTCTCTTGCTCTCATGGATTTCTATCATTCCCCAATCGTTTTGCAATTATACGGTGCTTGATCACACAGCGTAGAACATCCCCTGGTTGCTCTTCCCCAAGGTTGGTTCTGACCACATTTGCAAAAATAAATGAATGAACTTGAGATAAGAGAGAGGGAAAGAAGAAGAAGAAGAAGAAGAAGAAGAAGAAGAAAGAAAGAAGAAGAAGAAACAGTACACCAGCAAAGACCAATGATAATTCCCTTCTTCTAACCAACCACTCTCCTCCTCCTTTTCTCCTCCCCTCTTTATTTCACAAGAAATAATAATAATAATAATAATGTTGAATGGTTGAACCAGAAATTCCAGAATCAATGTCCGAATCCCTATTCTACTGCAGGTACAAGATGAGGTCCACCATAGCCATGGCCACTCTTCTCCTTCCTCTTCTTGAAGGCCGAGGCTATGGCGGACTGTTAGGGCCTTGCCCTGATGTGCAAAAGACAACTCAAAGCAGCTATGGCTGCTCTGGATCAGGCCGCCATGCCTGACTCGGCCTCTAAGATTCTTGGTGTAGCTCTACCCCAACTGGGGCCTTCCAGACGCAGCGCCCACCAAGGTGATGAAGATGGCGTCCACCGTATCCAAGTAAGTACCTGGCGATCCCCCTTCCTAGTCTTCGCCTTCCTCCTCCTCCAGCCCGAGCTCCTCCACCATAGCCAATGTGGGAAGCTGGGCGCTCCTCCTTCCCAGCAGTGCTGCTTCACCGAGCGCTGCTCCAGCCAGCGCTCCAACAGTGTATCGCCACACTTGCACACCGAAGAATGAGGAGGAGCACTTCACTCCTCCTCCAGATATAGCGGCCTGCTTGCCTCTTGGGCAGTGACTTCCAGGCCGCACGGCCTCGAAGCAACCGGTGCCTCCTCGCTTTTGGAGGGAAACATCATTGCAGACTCTGATATTGCCCGTACAGGCCCTAGACTCAGACTACTTGGACTGGTACCCGCCTAGACCTAGCCTACAACTACT